GTTCAATCCCTGGCTCCTGTGAGCACCCAAGTGTGGAGTGCGTGCTGGAGTCCCAGTGCTGGGGAGGAGGAGACAGACTGTTGGGCTGGGGAAAGGTGCATGGGGAACACATCTGACCTCTGGCTCCTATATGCACATGTATAGGTATGTACCAGTGCATGAACATGTGTGTGTACACACACACACACACAGAGAGAGAGAGAGAGAGAGAGAGAGAGAGAGAGAGAGAGAGAGAGAGAGAGAAGGAGAGAAGGAGAGAAGGAGAGAGGGAAGATTATTAGTGAAAAATAAAATGGAACCATTGAGGTCCAGAGAAATTAATTTCCTTGTCTAAGGTCACAGCCAGGGGACTGAGAGGCAGCCTGGCTGGCCCGGCCCAGAGCTTCCCTCCTTCTCACAGAGTCACTATTGAGCTGGCCAGTAATGGGAGCAGAAGGGGACATTTGCAGGGGGGCCCTGGAGCCCTGAGACCCAGGGAGTAGCTGCTTGCAAAGCCTCACTCCAGCAATGTGCTCACGATGGCTTTCTGCTCTGCACAGAGCCCCTCTGTTCATCTCCAGGGCTGTAGCGTGGGACCCTTCCTGGGCTGCCAAATTCTGACAGAAATCTCTGCAGCCAAGGTGCACATAGGTCAGCTGTGTGGTCAGACACCACTGGGCTGGGACCACGCCACCTTTCCCAGTGTGCTGGACAGCAGTCAAGAAAAGCAACCATCTGGCTGGCAACACCTTCCTAGAAACCTCAGCGAGGCTGCAGAATGTGCGAGTCTGCATGGGCACCTGGGGTGCCCTGTGACCCACGGCTGGCCACAAACCCCAGAGGCAGCTCACTGAGGCTGGTCTGCTGCCAGCCTCCCTCACACCCCTGTCAGCAAACTCAGAGGCCGGGAAGAACGTGCTGGGGTCTGGAACCACCATGTTTCCCTGTGCAGGGGCCTTTTCTCCCTTGTGTTTCCTGGAGAGTCTATCTCTATTCAGAGAGAGAGAGAGATTGATTCCATTGAAGTCCCCCAAACCTGAGTTTCTTGAGGTTGCTCACAGGAACATGGGTGGGGTTCCCAGAGCTTGGACAATTATGCCACTGAGGAACCCCCACCCCAACAACTGTTAACTGCTTATGGATCCTGGGGGTGGGGCTCCTAAGTGTTGTGAGACATTGTTCCCTGACCCTCCACAGGGACAGTTAGAGACCCCCCTCGTGAAGACCCCTGTGGGTAATCTCAGCTACTCTTACTTCCAGTGGCAATGACCACGTCACAGCTGAAAGAACAGCTCCACACTCCAGTCTGCCTCTCAGGCGCATGCCACTGTCTGACTTGGGTGATCTGTGGAGAAGTCAGGTGAGCTAAGTTAAGTCGGTGGTGTTGGCATTTGAAGGAGGCTCATGGCCCCCTAAGCTAGGACCCAGAAGGCCTCGGCTGCCAGGATCCTGGTCTGGGCCCTGTCTCTTCTTGGGGACAACACAATGGCTCCTATTGTGTCTCTTGCCTCTGTTACAACCTGTCCAACTGAAACCTGAGAGATGCCTTTGTCTCAGTTCTCAGCAGCAGAGCCGACACCATGGTCCCAACAGGACTGACCGACCCATAGGAGAGAAGGCAGCCATCCAAGGGTGTGTGTGACCCAACTCCACAGTGAGACTTGAGTGGTTGGTGGGAGGTAACCGACTCAGAGCTAGCCTGGAGGGAGTGAGGAGACGAGGGTGCTTATAGCCAGATCCCTGTCAGGCTGCAGCTGGGGGATGCTCCTGGAGGAGCATTCTGCCTGCAGTGATGGAGCCGCCCTCCACAGCAAAGCTGTCCAGCAGCTGCAGCCTAGAGGACGGGCTCAGCCATGCAGGTGGGCCAGAGGACGTCTGTCTTCTGTCACAGTTGGAGTCATTCCTCCCTGCCAAAGCAAGGCCTTCGGTGCCATGGGTGGCCTCTGCCTTCTCCCTCTCCAGCTCTTTGTCTTGGCATTTGGCCTCAGTCACTTCCTCATCCGGCTAGAGCATGGTTTCAGGGCCACACACAGGTGTGCGCGTGTGCGCGTGTGCGTGCGCACACGCGCACACACACACACACACACACACACACACACACACGGGTGGGACTGGGGTTCATGTACCTCCCCTCCTCAGACACAAAAAGGAGATAACTCCGAGTGACCTCATCAGGGAGCCCTTCAAACCTGGTGAAGTGTTAGTGAATCTCCCCCTGGCCTCAAGGAAGTGAACAGTGATGTGAACCGCTGTGGGACGGGCGGGTTTGGGAGGATGCTGCACCTCTAAGGACCACAGTGCAGCAACTGCAGGGTTGGAGCCCACCTAAGCAAAAACTCTGAACTACAGTGACACATAATCTTGTTGATTTTAGTTGGGGGGGGGGGCTGAGCAGACACACCCCAGTCAACACGGGAAGAACCCCAAGAAACTATGGGATAATATCTATGTTCTGCGGAGCCCCTGGTATCCTGAAACTAAGAAAAGGAGTGAGGTGTGGAACTGTGAGGGGCTCCCTTGCATCCCTTGATAGACCCCAAAGTCTAGGGTACTACCTTCTCGGGTGGGCGCCCCAAGAACCCAGACCCCGGTCCAGTTGATGCAAACAGCACGAGGTTTATTGATGCGGCTGTACAGTCGGGCTCCCCTTGTCCTGAGGGCAAGAGTCGCACCACACTGCAGCCACATAGGTACTTTTAAAGGAAAATCCCACAAAAGCCACAAGGCTACAATTCCCATACAATTTCGTTTCGATTGATTTATGTCTAGAGGCTAATCTCATAAGATCATGGCCTGATCACAGAGTGATCACAGAGTGGTCACTGCATGCACATTCTTCCAGAAACCTCAAGGGGGGTATCAGGGTGGGAGTGGAGTTTACACAAAGGTCACAGTGGTCCTTCCTGGAACACTTGCAACTATCACGGTCACAGTTGAGCGCATCTCTTAATAGAAATCTCTTTATATTGTTACATTGTGGCAGGGGGGTAGTTGAATAATGGCTGAGTCAGGCTGCCCTTGGAACTAGCTTTTTAGTTCCTCATTCTCCAGGGCCTGGGGGGTGTAAGCCTGAAGGGTTAGGGTCTTTCACCCCAACAATGAGTCTCAATTTTTTTCTTACCTCACTGGAGTCCTGCCTTTATATAAAAGCCTTTTAAACAGAAAATGAAAAAAGAAAGTCTGTGTTCTTTGTCCCATTTCATTCATGGTATTAGTTATTTGTCTCACGGCTGTGACAAAACACCTCACAAGAGCCACTTAAGGGAGAGAGGGTTTATTCGGGCTCTGGCAGGGGAGACAGGAGCATTAGGCCATGGGTCACACGACCTGAGCATATGGTGGCAGGTCACATGACACCCCCCCACACACACAGTCAGGAAGCAAAGAGAGTTGGACACTGGTGCTCAGCCCACTTTCTCCAGCCAATGTGGTGCCAACCACATTCAGAATAGATCTTCCTACCCCAGTTAATCTAGATGATTCCTCACAGACATGACCCCTGAGATTTGTCTCCATGGTAATTCTAAATGCTGTTAATAAAGGTTAACCATCACAGCTGGGTTGTTGGCTGGTATTTTTTTTAAATTTTATTTATTTTATTTTACAATACCATTCAGTTCTACATATCAGCCACGGGTTCCCCTATTCTCCCCCCTCCCACCCCCTCCCCTTACCCCCAGCCCACCCCCCATTCCCACCTCTTCCAGGGCAAAACCTCCCCCGAGGACTGCGATCAACCTGGTAGACTCAGTCCAGGCAGGTCCAGTCCCTTCCTCCCAGACTGAGCCAAGCGTCCCTGCATAAGCTCCAGGTTTCAAACAGCCAACTCATGCAATGAGCACAGGACTCGGTCCCACTGTGTTGGCTGTTTTTTTTAAGTACTTCTAAAGTTTTTCTTTGGACTGAGGAAATTAGCCTTCTGTTTTCAGTACAATGTACTATTCCCTGTGGTTGTAACCATCAGTAACTTTGTGAAGACTCTTTGTTGTGTAGAAACCTCACTTTGCTCTGTGAAAATGATCAAGCTTTGCATTCTGACACTGAGTCTGTGAGTTTTCAAAAGGCCACGCTCGCTCAGAGTTACTTTAAAAGTTCTCTTCTTCTTCTTCTTCTTCTTCTTCTTCTTCTTCTTCTTCTTCTTCTTCTTCTTCTTCTTCTTCTTCTTCTTTTTTTTTTTTTTTAAAATCCATCTTGGGTCCATCTGGAAGTATTTAAAGCTTACATGTCCTGGTGCCATTTGTTGGAGACTCATTCCTCCCTTTGAAATGCGACCTTCCCCAGATAGCCAACTTCTTTATGTATGTGTGGCTATTTCTATGCTGTTCTGCCCCAGATGCCAGCACTACTGTGTTCTAATTATGGAGGGGTGGTCTTATCTTTCTCACTGCTCATTTCAGGATTTGCTGGAATAATGTTTTGGTGTGATTTTTTACAGTCAGCATGTTGCTTCCGTTCCCAAATCCTTCTGATACTTTATTGAAATTAATTTATTTTTTGTGGACTGACAGCCAAGTTTCGCCATAAAATTTATCATTCACTGGGCATGGTGATACACAACCTTAATCCCAGTATAAAGGAGGCAGGGGCAGCGGATCTCTGTGAGTTTGAGGCCATCTTGGTCTACAGAGTGAGTTCCAAGACAGCCAGGGCTACCTTGCTCAAAAGAGAGACCCTGACTCAAAAACAAACATGTTTCATGCCGGAACAGGCCCTCGTGTTCTCTAGTGTTCCCAGACATCTGCCTGTCTCTGGGAGGCATCTTGCACTTGTTCCCAGTGGGTCTGTCCTAGCTATTTTTATGTCAACTTAACACAAGCTAGAACCATCTGAAAGAGGGAAACTAATCAAGAAAATACCTCCGTAAGATCCAGTTGAAGGGTATTTTCTTGATTAGTGATTGGTGGGGAAGGGCCCAGACCATTCTGGGCTGGTGGTCCTGAGTTCTGTAAGAAAGCAGACTGAGCAAGCCAGTAAGCAGCGCCCTCCACATCCTCTGCGTCAGCTCCTCAGGCTCCTGTCCTGACTTCCCTCAGTGGTGGACTGTGACCCGGAAGTGTGAGCCAGACACACCCTTCCCTCCCCAGCTTGATTTTGGTCCTGGGTTTCATCACAGCAGCAGTCCGCCTCGGACAGCGCCTTTCTCCATGGTGTCGCCAATTTCCCATACTTCACCTCCTTGGGACCATCAAGGACAGGATCTTTCCTTCCAGCATATGTCCAGGGCGGCTGCTCACGGACTGTGGCGTGGCTGTGACTTCTGTATGGTCATCTTGTGACTCCCCTGTACTAACTCCATTTTATTCTCCACCTTCTCGGGTGGAGTGTGTGTGTGTGTGTGGGGGGGGGTGGGTCTGTGTGTGGGTCTGTGTGTGTCTGTGTGTGTGTGTCTGTGTGTGTGTGTCTGTGTGTGTTGAGGCCAGAGGTTGTTAACTTTTGAGTTGCATTCCTCAGGTCCCTGTTGACCTTTTTTCTTATTCTTTCTTTCTTTTTTATTTTTTTCAAAAATTGGTCTGGAGCTAGCCACTAGGCTAGCCTGGCAGGCAGCTGAACCTGGGCATCCATCTGTCTCCACTTCCCCGGGGCTATATCTAGAAGCACATGCCATCATGCCTAGTTTATTTGTTGGCTTATCTATTTTTAATTTTGTGTATGTGTATCCACATGTGCATGTATGTGCATATGTATATGTGCATGCATGTGTATGGCCCTGAGACATGAGGAATTGGCTCTCTGGGAAAGATAGTGTTTCTATGAAGGAAAGAATGACCCCCACCCCAGGAGAGGTTCTGGATACTTAGACTGTCAAGTGGAAAGGAAGTGAGGAGGGTCCCAGCTGAAGGGTGTGGGCCATAAGAATATCAGGCATCTTTTCTGGAATCTGCCTGGCTTGGCCCAGGAACCTGGTGCACCTACTCAGAGTCCTGTGCTGGCCCTGCCTGGCCTTCCATCCCTATCAGGAGGGCCTGAGGCCTTCCTTGACCAACTGCAGGGTCTTGTCCCAGCCAGATATTCTGTTTGGAAGGTGACAGAGCCAGGCATCCCCTGAAACTAGGTGGTGGGTATGGAGGGCAGGTTCCAGTGACTACCGGCCTCCCCAGGGACCTTGTGTGTTCTTCATGGTTCATTTATTCTTGCACTCAGAAGACCTTACTATGTTTTAACTTGTGTTGAATGCATTCTGGGTTCTGGGGTCAGACTGGTTATTTTAATTATTTATTTTATTTTGGTCGTTTATTTTCCTGTCCAAGAATTCACAGCTGAGTGCCACAGAAGGTATGCCTGCCTCACCCCCTGTCTTCGTGGTCAGAGTCAGATTCCTGGCTTCAAGCCTGGGTCACCACTCCTAGCTATGTGGCCCTC